GAGTGTTACAGGGGGGCCAGGATGTGTGAGAGCTGCCACCCTGCACCCCAGGGAGCCAGGAGTGGAAGGAGCAGTGGCCTTCTGGGCAGCAGGGATGTGCCGTGGGCCAGACTCTCCTGGACACGAGCCTAGGCAGTGCTGACAGGCCCTCTCAGCGGGGCTCAGGGACGCAGGCCAGGGAGTCCCAGCTCAGCCACCAGCCTCAGGGGCCTGTCAGTTTCGCTGGGACCGAACAGCCACCCTCGCAGGGGAGCTGCTGGCCTCCCGTCTGGTAACGCTTGTCAGAAAGGGCTTTGTCGGTCGTGAGCCTCTCAACATGCACTGTTTGTGGTGGGATTTTTTTTCTGGGGCCAGTGCGCAACTATCTCACTTTCCTCAGACCCCCAAAATTCTGTCCAGTGGGTATGAGAGGGTGTTAGGTGGCCAGCGGAGGAGCCTGCCTGACACCCCTTCTCTCTCCCAAGACCTTTCCCATACCCCACCCCTGAGCCGGTGCAGGGGCTGCGTGGTAACTGGTGGAGGGGAGACTGTCACTCTGCCTAGCTCCGGGGACTTTGGGAGGAGAATCCAGTAGACAAGGCCGTGTGTGTGTGTGTGTGTGCGCCCCTCCATCTGCCCATCTGCCCACCCGCCCCGGCTCCTGCTCGCTGCAGGGCCTGGAGCCGCCGCTGGGAGAGGAAGTGCAGTCGGTTACCAATCGGGTTATTTTCATAACGGCTGTCTGTCTCAGGCTGGGGGAGGAGAGTGGCGAGGGGGAGGGTGCAGAGGAGCAGCCACGGCGCTGGCTCTCCAAACTAGGACTTGCTCAGCCGGAGGCTGGCAGCCTGGAGCTGGAGCCAGATCCGGGGCTCGTCTGCCCTCGGGGACCCCAGCCCCACTTGTCCGCCCACCTCCTGCCTGCTGCCCTGCCTTCAGACCAGGTCAAAGGGGGCCCCCCCAATCCTTCCTTGCCGTCTGCGTCCTCCCTCCTGCCTGTGTCCGGGGGGGTCTGGGGAGGGGGTCAGGGTGGGCCCAGGCACCACCATCCCGAGAAAGGCCCCTGAAGCCGATGGAAAGGGAAGGTGAACGGGGTGCCTGCCCCAGCCAGAGCAGACCCTGCAGAGGTGCACATCACGGGCCCACTGCTCCCCACTGTGCACCTTTCATTTCGTTTTGTTTTGTTTTCTCTTTGGCAGGACCCCCTTAGTGAGTAGAGGTGAGGAAGTTGGGACCCTACCTCATCAGCCCCCGGCAGGCCTCCCTCCTAGCTCTTCCCACCTGGGAGCCAGAGGGGGCTGCAGGGAGTGGGCCCCTGCCCGCAGCGTGCAGTGGGCACTGTGGCTGAGCCCCACGGGGGACTCGTGCCAGCACCTCTGGAGGCAGGGAGTCCCTGGGGGCCAGGCCTGGTGCCCGGGGCAGCAGATGTCCCTCGTAGCATGAGCAGACACCCAGGTGGCTCTGGCTGTCGGGCTCTGTTCCTCATGTGGTGGGTGGTGGCCACCCTGGGTCCTCCTGCTTCCCTTTCTGGGCTCCCACCCCCGCCATGGGCAGAGACAAACTCCCGGAGGCAGCAGGACCCCCATTCCCAACGTCCACTGTGGGTGTGGGCTCTGCCACGGCCCTGTCAGGTGTTGCGTCGGCAGGTGCTCTGCGCCATCATCTGGTCAGAACACCCCTTGTATCGGCCTTCTGGGTCCGTGGTGTTATCCCGTTTTGCAGGTGAGAACATGGAGACTCAGAAGGTTGGCTGATGAGCCCAGGAAAGCAATGGCGGACACAGGATTTCGAAGCCTTTGGGCTTTCCCACTTGAGGCAGCCAGGGTCACAGGCCGAGAGCCCCGGCCACTCGCTCCCAGCTAGCTGTGGCGGCCGCGCCTGGGTGCATGGCCATGCACCGCCACACACGGCTCTCCCACAGTGTCCCGTGTCCTTTTAGGCCCCCGACAGCCAGCGGGAGGTTGATGGGCCCGTGAGGCTTCTCCATCCTGTTCCCTCTGGCTGTGACGGGCTTTCCCCAGGCCCCCCACTGGGCGGCTCTGCTGTGGTGTCAGAACCCTGCGGGGCCCCCTGTGGTGTGTGGAAGTGCCGGTGTGAGCTGAGACGCAGCTTGGGCTCAGAGCCGTGCTGCGCGCTGAGGCTGCAGGTCCAGGCAGGGACGAATCGGGGACAGGCCTGAGGCCAGGCCGGACTTCTGACCAGACCCAAGAGAAGCCTCAGCAGAGTTCGGAAGTCAGGAGTCAGGCAGTTGCTGACCAGAGGGCAGTTTCTATGGAGACCAGAGGAACAGGAAGCGTGGCCTCTGAGGGGGAGGGGCATCGGGAACATAGAAGCCTGGGTGCCCTTCATAAAACGGCAGATCAGCCAGTCTAGCAGCCTCCTTGGAGGAGTGAGGAAACTGAGGCCTGTGAGCAGTCAGCTTTGCACTTGGCCTCACAGCCCCGGCCTGGCCACCTTGCTCTTCACTTGGAGTGACCGCGCTCTCCAGTAGCTGAGGAGACTCCTGGACAGATGTGGACTTGGGGCTGCTGGGCAGCGTGTGGGCCGTGGGCCGTGGGCCGTGGGCCGGGGCGCTGAGAGAGCCGCCCCCAAGTCGTGAGCTGGGGCGACCTCTTCCTGCTGGCCCCCCCGCTGTCAGTGTGAGTCTGGGGCAGGGCTGGCCCACAGCACCTCCCCCACCCCCGCTGACTGTGGCCTTTTGTCTTCTGGGTGACATTAGCATCAGGCGGTGTGTCCGGGTGACTAATCTGCAGGCTGTGCAGCTGTCGCAGAGCAGCCTGGCCAGACTAGGAAGGAAAGCTGACACCGGGAGCGGTGCTGGCCGGCCAGGGCCCCGGCTGCGGCGGGTCGCTGGGCCTTCAGGGTCTGTTCCCCAGTGCAGAGCAGACCTCGAGGCAAGCGGGCAGGGGTTCGGATCCCAGTCCTGCTGCTGACCAGCTGTGTGACCTTGGGCATATTTCTGCGCCCCCTCAAGCCTCGGTTTTGCCATCGTTTGAGTGGAGCCTGTGGTCCTGCCTGCCTCACGGGCTCGTGGTGGGGTCAGCAGGACGGCAGGTGCTCAGCCCAGGGTCTGTCACATGGTAGGTGTGCAGGAAGTGGGGCCGCCCTGGTTCTACAGCCCTTCCCTGTCCCATTCCACCATAGTCCCGGTCTCGTGGCCCAAGAGGAAAGACCCTGCTCCTGCTGCCCCCTGGGTGCAGGCTTTACTGTCCGGGGGACCCAGCTCCCACCCTGGCCACGCACTGACCGGCCGTGGGCTGTGGGCAGGTCACTTCTGCGAGCCTCCGATCCCCCCAGGAGCACAGCGGGAACCAGTGCCTGTTCTTTAGGGCCGCTGCGGTTCATGAAGCGGTACGCTTGTTCGAGGGTGCTCCGCCCCGTGCCCGACACACAGGGTCCTCGGTCGGTGCTCCTGGGCGCAGCTGATTTAGGAGGCAGCCAGGAGCTCTCCCCCACAGCGCTCACCTCCTGCCCTCTCCCACCGCCGGCAGGGGCTGGCGCGGGGACGGGCGGAGAGCCGGAGCCCCAAACTCCACTCCCCCAGGCAAGGCCGCCTGCGCTGCCCGCTGACCGCAAGAGCTCAGAGACTTGGGCCCAGCGCGCCTCCCCTTCGGAACCCGGTCCCAGGCAGGGCCCCGGCCTGCCCCCACGCAGCAGCAGGCGCAAGGCCGAGTGGGTGGCGAGTCGGCACTAGATGTGCAGCCCAGCCTGACCTCTCAAGCCCCTCGCTTTCCACTGTGTGTTGGGGCACTCCCCATGACGTCTGACTTCTGTCAGCCCCAGGCAAGTGTCTCACAGCCCTGACTCAGACCTCCCTGTGGCTGCCAGGGCCCAGGAGGGCATCCGATAGAGGGACACAAGCATCATCCCTGGGCACTCGGGAGGCCTCGCCCTGCTGAAGCAACGCCTGGCCTAGTGCCATTCCCCCAGGGTTGGAGAGACAAGTGGCTTGTGAAGAGGGGCCGAGGGAACAGGCGAGCTGGTGAAGGAAGTGGAGCACGCAGTCAGGACAGGTTGGGGAGGGGCGTCGCCAAGGGTCCCGCCTCCTTGCAGGTGGCCCAGGGCAGCTCAGTGTCTGGAATGGAGAGCCGGGCTCCTAGCACTGGCCCCCGGGATGAGGTGCAGTTCACCGGTGCCCTGAGGAGTGGAGCCGGAAGGGTTCTCAGGTGTCACCCGGCACCTTTGTACACGGGGTGTCTGCACTGCACCTCCGAGTGAGACAGAGCAGCCTGGCGCCCGAACAGCCCTGACCGGCAGCCCCGCAAAGGCAGACGTGTGGGCAGACCCAGAACCCGAACAGCTCGCTCTTGGCTGTACGAAGCCACGACTGCGAGGGGGTGGCCTCTCCCTGCAGCTGCCTCTCCAGTTCTCTGAGGGCCTCGTCTGCCCCCCCGGGCTGTGACCCCTGAGGCTGACGGCTGACCCTCTCCACTAGTAAATGCCACTCTCAGCCTGACACCAAGACCGGGGCTGAGTCAGGGCGTCTCACCAGGGCACCTGCGTTCCTGTTCAGAGGGCCTTGTTTTATTGTCGTGCTTGGTTTGTGCCATGTCTAGGGGAGGGGGTCACCTAAACCTAACTCGCCCCTTGTTCCTGGCAAAACAAAGACCTGACGAGAAGGAAAGCCTGCCCTCTACCCCTCAGTCTGTCTGGGCCAACTTCAAACTGGAACCCAAAATTCCAGACTTGCAGCTTCCTTTTTCTTCTCTTGTCAGCTTCAGGCCAGAGTTGAAGTCCTTTAGGCCAGGACTTGGTGGATTATGGTGCCTGGACCAGGGATGTGGGGTTGCATAGCTGGAAGCCCCTCCTACCACTACTCTTGGGACAGCCCAGAGGCTCCCAGTAATGGCAACCCTCCCCTGAGGGTTCTCTGATGCCTCAAACACCCTGTTTATTGAGATGGAAGCCACAGTCACCCCTCCTCCAAGGAGCCCAAAGGGCAGAGGCCATGACTTGGCTCCTGGGCACAGGACCGGCCATGTCCCGGCCCAGCTCCTGATGCTCCCGGTCTCTGTGCCCAACAGGCACCCAGCCGCCCCTGCATGGAGACCTTTTTTAAGAGACACTTCCAGCGGATGGCACCAGGCCTTGGAGAGGGGCAGCGGAGGCCCAGTGGCATGGGGCTGCCTACGGGCAAGGCGCGGCGCCGCTCCCCCGCTGGGCAGGCCTCCTCCTCGCTAGCCCAGCGTCGCCGCTCCAGTGCACAGCTCCAGGGCTGCCTCTTGGGCTGTGGGATGCAGGCCCGGGGCACCGGCCACCGACGCCGCTCCAGCACCACACCTCCCACCCGCAACCCCCGCTTCGTCGTGGGTGAGGTGCCCACCCCACGGCCTGCCATGGTTGGGGCTCAGCCTCTGGGCGCACCCCTGCTGTTGGCTGGGCTTGGGGGCATGAATGAGGCGGAGGAGGGGGAGGAGGGGGTCCAGGAGGAGGATATGACAGTTGCAGCATTGAGTACCACGAGGCAAGGCACCAAGACACCAGGGCCACCCCGACCCCAGGGCGCCCGGACCCTGCTGCCAGTGCCCTATTGCCTGCGAGGGCGCCAAGCCTCCTCCCACCTGCTCCCTGCTGACGTGGTATATGACTGCGCCCTCTGGGGCCTGCATGGTTACTATCGCCGGCTCAGCCAGCAGCGACCCTCAGGCACCACGGCCAGCCCCGGGACACCTGCCCGCGTGTGCCCACTCTCCCGCAGGCGCCAGGTAGCCCTGCGGCGCAAGTCAGCTGGACCGCAGGCCTGGAGCGCCCTGCTTGCGTAGGTATAGCTGTGGCTAGTAGGGCCAGTGATGCGGCCTCCGGGGGGGCCAGTGTGGAGCAAGGGCCTCGGGGCTCTGCCTGGCCTGTGGGCAGCCTGCTTGGAACTGTGCACCCCCGAAGTGCTGTGAGGAAGGCTGAGTCTCCTGCAGGAATCTAAGAATCTTAGGCTGCTGGGGCAGTGAGGGGTGGGAGGGGTCATCCCCTGCTCTCCCTGTTGCTGCCCCTGCCTTGGCATTAGGTGAGGTTAGAGTGAGGGCAGAGGTCCCAGGTGGGGAGGGAAGGAAGCAGAGAAGCCAAGCACTCAGCTGGCCTCAGCGGTTTCCTTTTCTGTAGGAAAGCCATCACCAAGTCAGGCCTCCAGCACCTGGCGCCCCCTCCTCCTGCTCACGGGGCCCCGTGCAGCGAGCCAGAGCGGCAGATCCGGAGCACTGTGGATTGGAGCGTGAGTGACGGGTGCCAGGAGGGGCGGAGGGGCACCAGTGGACAGCTGTGAGAGGAGCCACGGGCCAGTGGGGCCAGGGCACACCTCCTGGGGTGGCCACGTTTGGGCCAAGTAGTGGAGAGCAGGGACAGCCCAAAAACAGGATGGAGCAAAGTAGATCAAGGCTGAAGTGGGTTTCTCTCCGGGGGAGAGGGTCGGGGGCCAGAGCAGGGGCTGACTGGTGAGCTGGGTGGCAGGTATGCACTGAGCATGCTTATCCCATGGTCTAGGAGTCGGCGACATATGGGGAGCACATCTGGTTCGAGACCAACGTTTCTGGGGACTTCTGCTATGTCGGGGAGCAGTACTGTGTAGCTAAGATGCTGGTGAGTGAGCCGTGTGCAGCATGCTGCCCCCTGGTGGTGGAGCCGGATCTAGAAGCCTGTAGACCAACCCCTGCTAGCTTGATAGCTGCAGCCCTTCCAGCTCAAGTGGAACAGGGCTCCCACCTGAGTGCCCTTGCTGTGAGCCATCTGAGGATGGTGAGAGAAGTCAATAGTGGGGGTTCCTGGTACACGTGGAGGGCAGATGTGCTGGGGCAGATGCAAGGATTCCTCTGCCGCCCTTGGAGCAGCACCCTGGCTGGAGTTACCTGGTGTCTCAGGGGCCCTCTCTTTCCGACAGCAGAAGTCAGTGCCCCGGAGGAAGTGTGCAGCCTGCAAGATTGTGGTGCACATGCCCTGCATCGAGCAGCTGGAGAAGGTGAGTGTGGTGCTCAGCCTCTCCTGCCCCCCCTTTGGGTGCCGAAGCCCTGTTGGAGCACACAGCACAGACATGTCGCCTGTGGGGCCCGGCGTGCACTGTGGTGAAGAGCCAAGCACCATCGCGCCACAATGCTCACATTCAAGTCCTGGCTTCCCTACTTATTAGCTGCTATGTCCTCACTGCCTGGAGTGGGGCACATGGACTGTCACTCCACAGGATGACTTCATAAACAGTGGCTATGACACAACTTTTTCCATATCCAGCCCAGCACTTAGAAGGGGCCATTGCCTGGCTGAAGCTGTAGTGGGCTCAGCCCCAAAATCTGGCTCTGTCCCCTACACACTGCTGCTGTAGAGACCTTTTCCTGAAGCCCGTCATCCACGATGTGTCTGCAGCTGGGGGCGTGGATGGGCCCTGCACCTCTGTGAGGAGGCAGCCCCCCCCACCCGGGCGCCCCAGGCAGCAGACACCAGAGCAGCTCACTGGAAAGCAGGGCTAGGAATCGACAAGGGGGCGCGGGCCCCTGACTTGTAGGTGAAGCTGCTCTGCAACTTTGCTAAAGGTGAAGCAGGGACAACTAGAAAAAGAAACAAAGATAGTCCCAGGCATTATGGACCGTCACCATGCCTGAAAGTGACAGTCACACCAGGGTTCCACAGATTAGCCAAACAAAAGTCTCCAGGGACCAGTCAGCTGAAGTCTGTAGGCAAGGACTGGGGTGCCTGCAGGTGCCCAGCTTGGGAAGGCTGGAGGTCAAGGGGTAACATAGGAGGGAACCATGGTGCCGTTTGGTGGGGCAGGTGGGCAGACTCTCCCCTGTGCCATGATACTGGGCGGGGAAAGGAAAGCTCCCTCCGGGCTGGTGGAGAGGCGGCAGGATGTGTGTGGACCTCGAGTGCCTCGCGTGCTGAGGGCCCCTGCACGTGAGGGTGACTCCGAGTGACCCTTTCCTGCAGGGGGTGGCCACGTGCCTGACCCTGAAGGGAGGTTCTGACAGTTGGGTGGTCACTGTCATCTTTCACAGATAAATTTTCGCTGTAAGCCGTCCTTCCGTGAATCAGGGTCCAGGAATGTCCGTGAGGTGAGTGCCCAAGGTATCTTTGGGGCAAGGAGACCCCAGGTTTCCTGAGTGGACATCTCTGAGTGTCTCCCAAGAGCAGAGGGCTCAGCTCTTCCTGGCCACTTCAGGACCCAGGGTGGTGCCAGGGATGTGGCTCCAGGAAGGCCGTAGAGGGGAGAGTCTGGCCGGCCTTCCTGCAGAGGGGGGGGTCAGGGCCACCTGCTCTCTCGTGCCTCTGTCCCTCCTCCGAGCCTTAACCCTGCCCTGGGCCACAGAGAAGTTTCCAGCCCCTCGTCTGGTGCACAGGAGCTTCCTGCAGCCCCCCATTTCTCACCACTGATACATTGAGGGGTACAGGCTATGCTCAGGGCTTGTTGCCCCCAGCCCTCAGTCACTGGAATGACACTTCTCCCTCGCCAGCCAACCTTTGTGCGGCACCACTGGGTACACAGGCGACGCCAGGACGGCAAGTGTCGGCACTGTGGGAAGGTGAGAGGCCCTGTGCAGGGAAGGCAGCGACCTGCTGCCTGTTGAGTCTGGGCGCCCTGGCCCCCGGGCCCCATACTGTGGGTCCGTGTGGGCCATCCAGCACTGTGTCCCTAGAGGACAGAGTCCCAGAGGTTGTCCTCAGCCAGGCTGCAATGCACAGTCAGCCCAGTCTCCGGGCTGAGCGGGGAGGGGGGGCCCTTCCAGTGTAGGATGTGTGGGCTGCCGGGAGGTCAGGGGTGAGCCCTTGGAGGCACCTGTGGACTCAGTCTCAGTTCAGCCACTGTTTGGTGAGTGGTCTTCCCAAGCGCTGGCCGCCGTGACTTTGTTCACTTACTCATTTAATTCTTGTCTGTCTCCCTCAGTGAGTGTATAGATTCTGAATGGTCTAGGACATTTGTCCCCCGTTGCACCATTGACTGTCAGTGCCCAATACAGCGTCTGGCACATAGTGGGCCCTCAGTAAATGTGGCATGCCTGAGGGAGTGACCAGGAGCCTGGCTGCAGCCAGGGTCAGCAGGGAGGGGCTCTGAGGCAGGCAGGCAGTAGCTGTGGCCCCTCCAGCCAGCTCGAGCACACTCACCACTCTGCAGTTAACTTCAGAGGGATGGCCCCTGGCTCCGCCTCCTTGCTTTCAGGGCTTATTTATAGTTTTCTTAATTTTTAAAAATGTGCTCCATGTCCCCAGGTGGAGGGAGGTTGATGACAGGGGAAGGGTGATGCCCCTGCTCTGGGCCCAGTCCCTGGTGCCCCAACCACCCTGTCCACCCTAGGGCTTCCAGCAGAAGTTCACCTTCCACAGCAAGGAGATCGTGGCCATCAGCTGCTCCTGGTGCAAGCAAGCCGTGAGTGGTTCCTGCCCAGCCCCCACGGGCTGCCCCCACGTTGCACCAGGCAGGGTCTTGGGGTCCCAGGGTCCGGCTGCCCAGCTCAGCCGCCATCCTCCCCACCCCCACCCCCGCAGTACCACAGCAAGGTGTCCTGCTTCATGCTGCAGCGGATTGAGGAGCCATGCTCCCTGGGCATCCATGCAGCCGTGGTCATCCCGCCCACCTGGATCCTCCGGGCCCGCAGGCCCCAGGTGAGTGCAGCCACACCCTGGACACTCTCACACACTTGGGGTCTGCCAGCCACCCCAGCCCACCTGCCTTGTCACCAGTGCTCCTCCTTTCCTTGCAGAACACCCTCAAGGCAAGCAAGAAGAAAAAGAGAGCATCCTTCAAGAGGAAATCCAGCAAGAAAGGTCCCGAGGTTAGACCTGGGGCCAGGCTGGCAGTTGGAGGGGACGGCTCGGGGGCTGTTTCCTGGACCAGCCCCCGAGCTGATACCACCGGCTCAGCCTTTGATGGGTCAGTCTGGGCTCGGGGCTGGGGGGTCAGACCCAGATTGGGTCTCTGCAGCCAGGCCCACCAGGAGGGCTGACCCAGAAGGGGCACGTGCAGGCTGCCAGGAGGGGTGTTGCCGAGCGTGGGGGTAGGGTCCCCCAGGGCAGGAAGGAGCCTCACGGGCTCTCTCTGCCTCCAAGGAGGGCCGCTGGAAACCCTTCATCATCAGGCCCACCCCGTCCCCCCTCATGAAGCCCCTGCTGGTGTTCGTGAATCCCAAGAGCGGGGGCAACCAGGTACACACAGCCTTCCCGCTTCACAGCGGGCCTGGGGGGAGGTTTGAGGTCAGGTTTCTTGCCCCTCTTCACCGCGGGACCCACAGGTGTTCCCAGGTTCCATTTCAGGCTTCTGCCCCACCTCTCTCCCAGGGATCCCAGTCCTGTCTTCACCCCTTGCCCCTTACTGGGCCTGGTTCCCACAGCCTTCTCCCTGAGCTTCTCCCGACCTCAGCCTGCCACCCCTGACTGCCTCTCCCCCGGCCCTCTTGGTTCCTGGTCCCCCACAGGGTGCAAAAATCATCCAGTCCTTTCTCTGGTATCTCAACCCCCGACAAGTCTTTGACCTCAGCCAGGGAGGGCCCAAGGAAGCGTAAGTATTGGCAAGGCTCAGTGGGGACAGTGGTGAGGGCTTGCCTGGTGCTCGGGGTCCTGCCCACGCACCCTCACCCGTTCCTGTCTCCTGGGTCCAGGCTGGAGATGTACCGCAAAGTGCACAACCTGCGGATCCTGGCCTGCGGGGGCGACGGCACGGTGAGTCCCCCTGCCTCCCCCAGACCTGGCCCCGGCCTGGGCCCAGCCGGCCTGACCTGGCTGCTTCTGCTCTGCCCACTCCAGGTCGGCTGGATCCTCTCCACCCTGGACCAGCTGCGCTTGAAACCGCCACCACCTGTCGCCATCCTGCCCCTGGGCACTGGCAATGACTTGGCCCGTACCCTCAACTGGGGCGGGGTGAGCGCCCACGGGGGTGGGGCCACAGGGGGCAGGCGTGTGGAGGGGGAGGCCTATCCCCAGGGGAGACTCAGTTTCTGCTTCCTCCCACCAGGGCTACACGGACGAGCCCGTGTCTAAGATTCTCTCCCACGTGGAGGAGGGGAACGTGGTACAGCTGGACCGCTGGGACCTCCGGGTGGAGCCCAACCCTGAGGCAGCGCCCGAGGAACGTGACGAGGGCGCCACCGACCGGGTGGGTCAGCCAGGACCGGAGCAGTGGGCACCGGGGGGCCTTTCCACACCTCGGTGTCTGGAACTCCCAGGAGATTTAGGCTGGGCCCCACTTTCTCACTTGCTTGTTCTAGAACTTCGAGTGAGTTTTTTCATTTCCCTAAACTCCAGCTTCTTAGTCTACACAGTGAGGACAGTGGTGCTCACCTCACAGACTTGTTGTTCAGCCTCTTGGCAAATACTTCCTGAGTCCCTGCTCCCTGCCAGGCCCCATCCTAAGCAACAAGCAGGACCAGGTCCTGCTTACAGAGCTCCTGGGAGGGGTGCACACAGGGAGGGGTGTGGAGGGAACGCCTGCGGCCGCGGGGCACCTGTGTACGGGCACCTGGGGAGGGGTGGGCGGAGCCTGAGGCGGCAGGTGGGCTGGGGGGCTGTTGGGTGGATCTTGTGAACTGCGGGAAAGGCCTCTGAAGATGGGCTGAGTGAGCAGGCCCCGACGCTCATGTCGGCCCCTTGACCTCATTCCAGCTGCCTCTGGACGTCTTCAACAACTACTTCAGCCTGGGCTTCGATGCCCACGTCACCCTGGAGTTTCACGAGTCTCGAGGTTGGCAGTCTCTTGCCTGGGGGACCTGGGGGGCTGGGGAGGCAGGGACCTGGGAGTGGCCCTGAGAGGGTCAGCCCTTACCCCCCTGCCCTCCAGGGAAGGCGTCCATTCCCAGCCCACCCTCCCTACCTGAGCCTGGGAAGCCCCAGTGGGACCAGAATGACTGACTGTCCCCCATTTTTGTCACCACCCAGAGGCCAACCCGGAGAAATTCAACAGCCGCTTTCGGAACAAGATGTTCTATGCCGGGGTAAGCCTGGGATCTGCCAGACCAGCGGCAGCCTTCTCCCGCGCCCCCTGGCCGCCGTGTCTGCCAGGCCCCGGACCCCTGCCAGGCAGTGGTGAGGGCAGGTCCCAGTCACCAGATAATGACGCATCCGCCTCCCACAGACAGCCTTCTCCGACTTCCTGATGGGCAGCTCCAAGGACCTGGCCAAGCACATTCGAGTGGTGGTGAGCGGGCCCCGCTGCAGGCGGAGCGGGCAGGCCCGGCTGGGAGGGAGGCCGGCTCGGCTCCTCACGGGCACCTCCAACGCCCTCCCCGTGCCTGCCTCTAGTGTGACGGAACCGACCTGACCCCCAAGATTCAGGACCTGAAGCCCCAGTGCGTCGTCTTCCTGAACATCCCCAGGTGAGGCGGGGGCGCTGTGTGGGCCCTGCAGTCCCCACCCTGCACGACCACCCTCTGAAGCCCGTGACGCTGCCCACCCCCCAGGTACTGCGCGGGCACCATGCCCTGGGGCCACCCTGGGGAGCACCATGACTTTGAGCCCCAGCGGCACGACGATGGCTACCTCGAGGTCATCGGCTTCACCATGACGTCCCTGGTGAGTGGGCCAGGCGGCACCTGCCTGGAGGCCTGGCCCAGCACTGTGCCTGGCTGTGTCCCTACAGTGCCTGGAAGCTCGGCTCCAGGATGGAAAGGGGGTGTCACCAACTCTCTCCTTTGACTAGGGGCTCACTGTCTGCTCTCTCTGATTTAAGAGTATCTTTCAACCTCTCCATCTGTGGGGATACTCTTCGACCCCCCGACTGGGGTCTCCCCCTCCCTCCCCTCTCCATGGGGGTCAGTCTCTGCATTCTGACCAGAGCCTCCCTGGCAGGAGCAGAGCTTGGGGCCCCCCACACCGCGCCAGTGCCTGACCTGAGCCCTGTGTGCCCGCAGGCGGCGCTGCAGGTGGGCGGCCACGGCGAGCGACTGACACAGTGCCGTGAGGTGGTGCTCACTACATCCAAGGCCATCCCGGTGCAGGTGGATGGTGAGCCCTGCAAGCTGACCGCCTCACGCATCCGCATCGCCCTGCGCAACCAGGCCACCATGGTGCAGAAGGCCAAGCGGCGCAGCGCCACCACCCTGCACAGCGAGTATGCTTCCTACACAGCCGCCCCGGCCGGCCCAGGCCCACAGCCAGACGCTGCCCCCCCCCCAGCTTTGATTTCCCCAGCTGGAAAGAGGCGAACAGTCCCTCTGCCCCAGGACATTTGGGAGGGGACACTTGTGGGGGTTCCTGGGCAGGGGCCTTGCTGAGCCCCTTCCTGCTACCCCACCTGCAGCCAGCAGCCAGTGCCCGAGCAGCTGCGGGTGCAGGTGAGCAGGGTCAGCATGCACGACTACGAGGCCCTGCACTACGACAAGGAGCAGCTCAAGGAGGCCTGTGAGTGGCCTGCGGGGCTGGGGGACGGGGGCGGGAGAGCCACTGAGTCCCCTGAGGGGCAGGGCAGGGCAGTGGACTGTGGCCAGTGCTGACCGCTTGCTCTGCTCCCCAGCCGTGCCGCTGGGCACCGTGGTGGTCCCCGGAGACAGCGACCTGGAGCTCTGCCGTGCACACATCGAGAGGCTGCAGCAGGTGAGGGGCGGAGGAAGGGCCTGCTGTCTCCTCCTGCGCCAAGTTCCATTCTCACCCAGACCTGGCCTTTGATTCTCTCAACAGGAACCCGAAGGTGCTGGAGCCCAGTCCCCAACGTGCCAGAAACTGTCCCCCAAGTGGTGCTTCCTGGATGGTGAGTGGCCCTGAAGGGCCAGCTCCTGGCGGTCCCAAGCCATGTCCTGCCTCCTCCCTGGGGGTCCTGGGTTGGGGCAGCAGGAGCCCCGGGCCTGGACCAGGCCTCCCGGACCCGCAGCTAACCCAGCGTCTCCCCACAGCCACCACCGCCAGCCGCTTCTACAGGATCGACCGGGCCCAGGTGAGCACTCACAGCCCTGCTCCGCGACACCCAGCGTCCCCTCCACAGGCGGGCTCACCCATGCTCATCCCTGTCCACGGATAGGGCGTGGCCCTGCCCTCCAGACTGGAGTGCATGGGGCCAGTGCCCGGGGAACGGGGCCAGTGTGCCTGGGAAAGGCTTGCTGTTGGGGGGGGGGGGCCGGGGCCTCACAGTACAGGCGCCATCCGGAAAGACAGGAAACAGCACTGCTGGCCGGGGGCCAGCCTGGGTGACAGTTCATCCGTGGGAAGGGACTGGCAGGCTGGAGGGCCCAGGACCCAGAGGGCCAGGTAGAAGGAAAGCGGGTGGGCGAGGGAGGGGAAGAGGGACCAACAGGGCCACTCACCTGGCTGCCTCTGTCAGCATTCACACCCATAGCAGAGGCTTCTCCACGTCTGCCGGCGTGGTGGCCACCTCACCCCACCACCGCTGCCCTGACCCTTGGCCCCGGCCTCCCCACCCACAGGAGCACCTCAACTACGTGACTGAGATCGCACAGGATGAGATTTATATCCTGGACCCGGAGCTGTTGGGGGCGTCGGCCCGGCCTGACCTCCCGACCCCCACTTCCCCTCTCCCCACCTCCCCCTGCTCACCCACACCCCGGTGAGTCCCTGGGCTCCTCTGGCCCGGCCTGAAGTCCCACCTACGGGACAGCTGCTCCCGGAGCCCTGCCTTCAGCCATAGCCACAGCCACTTCCCTGGTACCAGCCTCCCGCTCTGGCTGCCCGCCTTCGTGGTCCCGCCCAGACCCGGCCCTCCCCTAACACCTGGCCACACCCCCGTTCAGACCGAGTGCCCCCGGCCTCCAGCCCTGCCCTCCCCAGTCTAGAACCTCTGCCTGTGCCCTGCGGTCTGTGGCTGCAGGTCACTCCACCGGACACAGCCCAAGCCTGCCCTCCCCTCTGTCACTACAGCCCAGCCCCATGGCCTCTCAGGTTTGGGGGCCTCGCATTTGCCTGCTCTGCACCTGTCCCAAGGCCTCCTCTCCCCACCTCCCTGTGCCTCACAGAGCTGGCCCCCATTCACACCTGCACCTCGGGGCTTCTGCCCTCAACAAGTCTGGGGAACCCCATCTGACATGGCTGTTCAAGTAACCACCCCGTCTCCTGTTCTTCACAGCACTCCTGCTCTCAAAATCCTTTATTTATTTGTTGACCTGTTTGTGGTCCCAGCTAGAATGTGAGCTCCCTGAGAGCCAGCTCGTGTTTGCCGCTGTACCCCCAGAGCCTGCAGCAGCCCTGACAGGCAGGGGGCACTCAATAAACCATTGAAAGAACACAGGGCGCCCCTGTTTGGGGCTGGGAGGGGACCAGCTGGCCTGTGCACAGCCGCATCACATCTCACCCCACTCTGTTTGTAGGTCACTACCGGGGGATGCGGTGCCCCCTAAAGGTGAGGCTTCTCCCTGGCTATGGGGGTGAGGTCAGTGGGGAGGTGGGCCCATGCTCTGCCTCACGCAGACACTCCTGTCAAGGTCCCTGGGGTCACGTTCTCCACGAGCCCAGCCCTCAGCACACATGCCCCGCAGCCCCTCTTTGCACACTACCTGTGTGTCCACACATCAACACAAGCCCAGGCCTCTGGCCCTGGAGTGTAACAGGCAGGTGTTCCGGCAGGTGAAGAGCTGGTGGAGGCTGCCAAGAGGAACGACTTCTGTAAGGTACTAGGGCCCTGGCTCCAGCTCCCTCCCCTGGGCAGCGCCCTTGCCCGGGGGCGGTGCACCTGGTGAGCCAGAAGCTGGCCTGTTCTGACACAGTCATCCAGCATCATCCGGCATCATCTTGCCCTCAGCAGAGCAGGGTTTCCTTGGTGATTGTCCCATTCCACCTTGCCCCATCCAGCCCATGGCCCATGGCCCTTCATAGGGCTGCCTAGCTCAGTGTGCCTGTCCCTGGCGCTCTGGAGTGAGTGTTCAAGGAACCGCAGTCCCCAGGGCCTGGTCATCTGTCCTCCTAGGGGAGTCCACTGGCACTTTGGCTGAGACAAGCCCCTCGTCTCTCCCCTGACACTCCCAAAAGACCCCAGCAGCCCCTAGGGAGCGATGTGTGTGAGCATGCCAGTGTCAGCCCTGTGGCCTGTATGTGAGTTGAGGGACATTTCTGGGGCTGGAAAGGGTGGCCAGGAGCCCAGCCCTGCCCCTGCCCTCAGCTCCAGGAGCTGCACCGAGCTGGTGGCAACCTCATGCACCGGGATGGCCAGAGTCGCACACTCCTGCACCATGCAGTCAGCACTGGCAGCAAGGAAGTGGTCCGCTACCTGCTGGACCACGGTAAGCTGCACCACTGGGCACCCTGCCCCACCCCCCAGGCCAGGCTGAGGCAGGAGGAGGAGAGGCTGCCAGGCCTCTCTGACCTGCCCCTCCCCTCTCCTCAGCCCCCCAAGAGATCCTTGATGCTGTAGAGGAAAAGTGAGTATGTGGCAGTGCAGGACGCCGGTTACTCTGGAAACTGCCTGCCTTCCTCTCGCCCTTCCTGTTTTGTCCAGTGGGAGCCCACAAACCCTTCCTGGCCATATCTGTCATCCTCCGGGCCACCCCGCCCCGTGCCTCAGGCCAGGGCCACAAACTTCCGGATCTTTTATGACGGCCCTTGGGAGACATATGGGAGGGCCCAGAGGACTGGATGGAACCCACAGCCAGCCCCCCTTCCCCCAGCGGGGAGACCTGTCTGCACCAGGCCGCAGCCCTGGGCCAGCGCACCATCTGCCACTACATCGTGGAGGCAGGGGCCTCGCTCATGAAGACGGACCAGCAGGTGAGCAGACTAGCAGGGCCGGCAGGGAGTCCACGCAGGTACGACCGATGCTCTCCCAGGCCTGAGCCCTTGTGAGAGGGCAGCCTCGGGAAGGCCCCTCTGGGGAATCGGTGCTATTCCTCAGCCTTGAGAAGCCTGGACCATTGGGCTCTCCCTCCCTGGAGCACGCCTGCGCCTTCCCTCCCCACTCTTCCTCCCCTACAGGTAGGTGTGCCTCTCCTAAACGCTAAGGGACCACAAGGGACTTGGCAACCAGGGGGGCAGTGGGCAGCGGCAGCTCCCAGGAACTAACCCCTGACTCTGTCTCCAGGCCCCCTTTCCTCTGACTTCCCAGTGAACCAGCGCGGCCCCGCCCAGGCTCTCTCCTGTTGCTGATTCTACCCTAAGCCCTTCCTTGTTTCACTGTCCCTGGCTTTAATCAACGTACTCTCAGAATCAAAAAAGAAAAAAGAAACCCGAGCCAGCAGGGCAGCCCAGCCAGCCCGCAAGGCCTCCCCTCCCCAACCAGCAGACTGAGGGACGGGCCCAGCCTCTCCTGAGCCTGACCACAGCTCCTCTCTCCAGGGGGACACTCCCCGGCAGCGGGCAGAGAAGGCCCAGGACACCGAGCTGGCCGCCTACCTGGAGAACCGGCAGCACTACCAGATGATCCAGCGGGAGGACCAAGAGACGGCTGTGTAGCTGAGGCCAATGCCGAGGAGGGGCAGGCCCCAGTCACGGCACGAGCCTCCTCCGCGCCCACCTCACTGCCACATTCCAGTCGGACAGCCACGGGGTGACCCATGCTCCTGGGAAGGAGCCCCGTGCTGCCCCAGAGGAGCCACCCAAACCTGGGGCTGGACTCTGAGGAGCTGGGGCATCTCACCTGTTCCCACGAGTCCCGGCCTGACCTGGAGGCCCGCAGGGGAGCAGAAGCCGGACTGGACCAGGCAGGCCTTTGGAGGGCAGGGCCATGCCGCCACGGGGCGGCCCGCACCCTGGCCAGTGCCCGCCATAGAATTTAGGAGCCAGAGGGTGATGGCAGATGGGCTTGAAGCCCCATCAGGGAGCCTTCCTAAGTCACTTGGTCCTCAAGGGCCCCAGCTCTGAGGCTCCGGGGGGTTCAGCCCTGCTGCCCTGACCCCACCCCTCCCAGGGCTTGCCCTCAGAACCTCGAGCCTGCTGTGCTCGCCTGCCTGCGGCCCTGCTTGGCACCTGCCCTAATGTCCCTCCCCAGTCATTTCTTGCAGGACTGTGTGGCCTGGGGGTTGGGGTGGGACTCTCGGGCGACTTGTTTACAGCTGGGTGTGACTCAGTAAAGTGGATTTCTTTTTTTCCTTTCTGCGTTTTTTTTTTGGGGGGGAGAGGTCTTACCAAAGCAGCCAGGTCTGCTGGGCTATCTTCAAAGTGGGGGCACTGGACACGGTGGACCCAGACACTTTCCTGGGGGTCCTGGGTCTCGTTAGGGGGTGGGGTCCCAAGGCCTGCCCGGGACCTGACCTCTGCCGGGCTGCCTAGGCAGGCGGGGTGGGGGGCGCTGAGTGCAGAGTTTCTCCCGATTCCTGCTTCCCGCAGGGACACTAACAAAGTGAGAGAGGTGGGGCGGGGAGGAGGGTGGCTTCGCCGCCCGCGGGCCCTGCAGCCTGGGGCAAGCCCCCTGCCCCAGGCCCCAGTGCTTCCGCCGTTTAGGTGGACCCGGTGCAGGGAGCCCCAGGCTCCAGGGTCAAAAGGGCAGGCATGCGCTGCCGCCACGGGGGCCGTGTCTGGAACTTCTCAGACGGCCCGGGTCGGCTCCGAGTCTTCCTAAACGCCGCCTGCGGTCCCGCCTCCTCCGCCTCCCCCACCCCTGCAGACCGACGCTCTGGGAAAGGTGCAGCACCCCCACCCTCGTCCCACATGTTTTCTCCGGGTTCCCGTCCCAGGCTCCCAACACTGAGTAAAGCACCTCCCTGCACACTTGGCTATCCGAAGAGGGGCGAATGCACCTTTCCAGCAGCACCGGGGCGCTGGGGGCCAGCAGGCCCTGGGGGGCGCGGGGGCGCGGGGCCTAACTGCACACAGGCTGAAACTCGGGCGGCCCGGTGACACACCGGGACTCCACACTCCCTCACGGTTCCCATCGAAGGCTCCGCCGGCCAAAAAGGTGGCTCGCGTCCTTTTTGGAGTGGGGATTGCCCCTGGGGGGGGTGGCACAGAGCGCCAGGGTGGAAAGCTGGGCCTGGAGCCGGGGACCCAGGTATCAGGGCAAGACGGAGGCCTGGGGCCGGGAGCTCCAGGCATCTGTGGGCTGAGGGCACTGTCGGGGCTACGCGAGGGCACCCGCGGCGGGAAGCCCGGGTGGAGACGCCAGGCACGCCAGGCGGGAGTGGAGGCGGGGACGCCGGGGTCTGGGGGGCGGTGCGGGGATTTAAGAGGAGGGGGTGGGGCGGGCCCTTTCTCGGTGGTGGGGGGGCGGGGGCCCATGTGACCGGCTCAGACCGGTTCTGGAGACAAAAGGGGCCGCGGCGGCCGGAGTGGGACAAGACGGGGCCAGCGCGGGAGGGAGCGAAGCATCGCTGGCGGCAAGTGAGTGCGTGCGTGGGGCTGGAGGGCCGCGGTCCTGGGTGGAGGCAGGATGAGGGTCTGGGCTGCACCCGGGCTCGGAGTATCCCCCGGGAGCCGCCGCCGGCGAGGAGTCGGCCCCTCGGGCTTTCCCGCGCTGCAGGAGCAGCCCGAGCCTTTGGGCCGGGAAAATGGGAAAGCTGTTGGGAAGTGCGCGCGCGGCTCCCAGGGGGGAACGGGCCGCGGGGCGCGCTGACCCTTGCTCTGCTCGCAGGATGCAGCACCGAGGCTTCCTCCTCCTCGCCCTCCTGGCCCTGCTGGCCCTCACCTCCGCGGTGGCCAAAAAGAAAGGTGTGTGAGGTTTGGGGGCTGAAGGAGGGCTGGCCGCCTGGGTTCCGAGGCCGGGACCCCAGGAAGGGGTCCCCGAGTGAGTCTGTAGATGCCTGGGCCCTGAGTTCTGTCCCCCTCCCCCCGTGCGTTTTAGACAAAGTGAAAAAGGGCAGCCCGGGGAGCGAGTGCGCAGAGTGGACGTGGGGGCCCTGCACCCCCAGCAGCAAGGACTGTGGCGCTGGTTTCCGTGAAGGTACCTGCGGGGCCCAGACTCAGCGCCTCCGCTGCCGGGTGCCATGCAACTGGAAGAAGGAGTTTGGAGGTGAGGTGGGGCACCGGCGGGGAAGGGGGCGCAGCCTCACTGGAACCTGGGCAGACCAGTGGGGGGAGGCCGCAGACCGTCCAGCGCTGACCCCGGCCCCCTCCCGCCAGCGGACTGCAAGTACAAGTTCGAGAGCTGGGGCTCGTGTGACGGGGGCTCTGGCACCAAAGCCCGCCAAGGCACCCTGAAGAAGGCGCGGTACAATGCCCAGTGCCAGGAAACCATCCGCGTAACCAAGCCCTGCACCCCCAAGACCAAAGCCAAGACCAAAGGTCAGCCAGGGGAGAGGGGGCAGGGTCGCGGCAGGGGGCTGCCCCCACCTGTGAGGGGAATGGTTCACCCAGGAGGTTTGGGGCCCTGGTCAGTGGTTTCCTGACATCTCTGCCCTGTTCACCTCTCTGTAGAGGTAACCGAGGTGGGCATGGCCTAGGGCCCCGGGAAAGCCCTGGAAGGGCTTTGCTTTGTCGCCTGTTAGGCCCAGGGGAGCATTTGGTCAGCTCTGCCCTGTCCAATGTGGAAGGGCTGTACTGTCCGCACTGGCCTCCTCCCTCACCATATTCCTGACTCCCAGCAGCCCAGAGAGGCCTACGGGGCAGAGGGGAACCCGCCCACTCCCAGATGGGGAGGCGGGGCTGTCGCCCAGGGTTGTGGGGGACCAGGGCTGGGACACTTTGAAGTGACCTGATCCCGAGCGAACGGTTAAGTTGGTGGGTGGCTGCAGCATAATGGCTGCCCTATCCCACCAGTTTCCAGGCCCGCTGGTCAAGAACCACTAGGGGGCAGGATTTTCCTTCCCCTGATATGCAGAGGGATCTTCTCTGGGTCACCTGGTTGAGCTCTCCTAACGCGGTGTCTTTCTTGTTTTACAGCCAAGAAAGGGAAGGGGAAGGACTAGCGGCCAGGCCTGAATGCCAAAGCGCCCCTGGCCCTCGCACTCCCTCCCACGGCCAGGCCAGAGCCCACCAGTGCCTTCTGTTCTTCAGCTTTATCAATCACGCCCTGCCCCCTCCCTCTCCCTCTCCCGCCCCGCCCCCAGGTGCCCGCAGTGGGATGGGACGAGGGGTCCTGGGCAGCCTGAGCCTCCCCACAGAGGGATTTCTTTCCCACGCCCCTTTGTTCTCGCCCAGAACAATGCCATTCCTAAGAAATAAATCCATTTTCTCCCAATAAAAGCTTTTTTTTTTAATATATAAAAGCCTCTTCCTGGGTAGTTTGCTGTGGTGATTTGTTGGGTGGGAGTGGATGATGGTGGAGGGAAGAAAAGGTTGGAGGGAAAGGTGGCTTCCTTGGGGGCCGGCTGCTTCCCCAGAAAAAGAACGGTTATGACCATTCCATTCAGAGTCTTCTACTGTCCTGTGGAAGGGGCCCCTACCAAGTGCCCTAGCCTTTTGGTCCTAATCTGTCCAGGGTGACCCCGTGGGTGGGCAAGGGAACTCACAAGACTCATTCGAGCTGACACTCCCAGGCCAAGGCCTCTGGTCCAGTCCACTGCCCATCAGGAAGGTTCTACCCACTGGGAGAGCAAAGCTGGGGGTTGCCCACCAGTCTTAACCCCTGCCTGCCCCCACTGGCACAGAAGTCCCTGTGGGGAAAGTCCATCCCTGTTCTGTCTCTGGTGACCCAGGCGCTCTTCCATCCTGCAGGGGCCATGAGGAACCCTGCCCACCACAGCCACCTTCACTCCGTGTGACCTGGAACAAGCTCTAACCTTGGGGAGGACTCGGGCTCTTGAGAATCCCGCGGATTCTCCCCGCTCAGGCTAGGGACCTGGGAAGCCTGACCTCAGTTCCTGAGTGAGATGCCCTCCCGCTGGCCCATGGTGACCGTGACCAGGGCCATGCTGCAGAAGGAAGAGGTGCCCCAAAGCCCTCTCCACCTGGCCTCCAGTCAGCTTCCCACCTGTCCAACAAGTACCTGGCTAAGCGTTGCAGCAAGGAGAAATTTCTGCTCCTGGAGTGGTATTTGGAAGGAGGGGGCGGAGCTTACATGCGGGGTGCAGGGGGCAGAAAGCACCGATTACAAAAGAATAGGGGACCCTACCCTTCCCTTCCTGAGCCTCCTTTCCAAAGCATGGGCCTCTGCTCGTCCCAAGGGGAGTCTGGACTGCTCTCCTCTTGAGGTCCATTCTTTCAGCCACGCTGGTTGGTCATGGTGGGGCAGGTGCCCACGTAGGTCAGTGACCCCCAGCTCCCTGAGGCAGAGCCGTAGAGGTGGGACAAGCAGTCCTGGTTCAGACACCTCCTGGGGCTGACCCTCCTCGGCCAGAGCAGAGAGCCGGTCTTCTCTCCGAATCCAGCCAGAGCCTCTTTCTGAGCCCCACAGGCTGTCAGGGACCTCAGTTCTCCCCTCAGCCACTGTGAACACTGAAAGGTGCTTTCGAATCCTGCCGCTACAGCAGCTGAGCCATGTGGTCCCCCAGCACACGCAAGCGACCGCCAGCACCTCCTATGGCACCCCTGCCTGCCTACCTGGCAGTGCCGATGTTCCGATACTGGCACAGCAGCAGGTGCCTGAAGGTCTTTTTAAAGGTGGCATTGCAGAGGGCGTAGCAAGCGGGGTTGATGGTGCTGTTGACGTAGCAGAGCCAGTAGCCAATGGACCACACCGTGTCAGGGATGCAGCTCTGGCAGAAGGTGTTCACCAGGACCATGACGTTGTAGGGCGTCCAGGTGAGGATGAAGGCCAACAGAATGGCAAAGATGGTCCGTGTCACCTTGCGTTCCCGGGCTGCCATCTGCCGCTTCTTGCGCACCTGGTTGCGGGCAATGCTGGCAAACTTGCGGGCCACGTTGGCCGCCGGGCGCATGCCAGCTGGCGTGGCAGGCACGATCTCGATGGCTGTCACGCACTCGTTGCCCGTGTGCTTCGTCACAATCTGGATCTTGGACCATTTGGAGGCTGGGTTGAGAGCCCGAGGCTGTAGGCGAGGGGCGGGGGTGGCGGGCACGGTGGTCTCTGTGGTCGACAGCTCTGTGGGTGGTCGTTCCTTGGTGTTCTGGGTGGCACTGCCTGAGCTGGACTCATTGGAAGTGTCCTTGTCAGCCACCGGGCGCGGCGGGGGTGGCAGGACCGGCGGCGGGGCCTCCTCCAGCTTCCCATTGCGAAGCTGCTCTCGTGCAGCTTCTCCCGGCGGGGCCTTCTTGACGCTCTGCTTCATCAGGGGGCTCTTGAGGAAGGCCAGAGTCTTGGCCTTCTTCTCCTTAGGGCCTTCAGGCCGGTGCTTGTGGACCCGGCTGCGGCTGGCCAGGGAGATGTGAATGTAGAGGACAGTCATGATGACCACGGGCAGGTAGAAGGCAGCGATGGCGGTGCCAAAGGTCACCGCCGGGTTGGACAGGAACTGGATGAAGCACTGGTTGTCGGGCACTGTCCGCTTGCCCACCACAAACTGCCAGAATAAGATAGCAGGTGCCCAGAGCACAAAGGACAGGACCCAGGCCGCAGCGATCATGAGCCCCGCCATCTTGGTGGTGCGCCGGGCCGGGTAGGTGAGGGGCTTGGTGACGCAGAAGTAGCGGTCAAAGCTGATGATGAGCAGGTTCATGACAGAGGCGTTGCTCACCACATAGTCCAGGGCCAGCCACAGGTCGCAGACCACGGCGCCCAGTGGCCAGTAGCCCTTGATGATGTACACGGTGTAGAGGTTCATGGAGAAGGCGCCTATGATGAGATCGGCACAGGCCAGGCTGAAGAGGAAGTAGTTGTTGACCGTCTGCAACTGCCGGTTGACCTTGATGGACAGCATCACCAGGATGTTGCCCACCACAGTCACCAGGCTCAGCGAGCCTGTCACCGTGGCGATGAACACCATCTCCACCGTCTCATAGCGGTTATGGGTTGATGAGACCAGGCGCACAGACTGGTTGCCCGCGCTGCCGTTGACTGGGGTGAAGTTCGCCATTTCAGTTAGCGGGGCCGGGCGGGGGCACCTGGAGGGGAAGGAGAGAAAGAGGGGAGCTGTTGACGAGGATTAGAAGGGTGAAGTGGGGTACACTGGGGTTCAGGGGGCAGAGGGACCTCATCCTGCAGAAGCTGAGGTGACTCTGTCCCAGCACGTCCTCCGTTGTCCCTGGTCATTTACTGAGGTAGCTCTGGGGCCGTGGTCACAGAAGTGAGTGCCACACACACACAACGAGGGAGCAACCACACAATAGTGCTGGAGAGAAAACAGGGCAGGGCAGGGCAGGGCAGGAAGCGACCCAGAGGACAGACAGGAGTGGAGGGCTCGCTGGAGGTGGCCTGGAGGGTGACAAGGAGGCAGCCACCTGGAAGGCTTCAGAAAGGAGCCCAGTCCAGGGCAAGGGCAAGAGCGAAGGCCCCGAGGCCCGTGGGAGGCAAGGACAGAGGTGAACCTGGTGGCACCCGGGGAAGGGCCACTCCCTCCCCACTGGAGGGGCTGAGTGGCCGCAGATGTCCCGTGTGACTCTGCTCAGAAGTGTTCATTCAGCCATTTGGTCATTCCTTAGGCCAACATGCCAGGGGACCTGCTCTCCAGTCCCCACAGAGGGCACCGGGGACAAAAAAGGACACATTAGCAGCTACAGTTTATTCTCTACCACGTGCCAGACCTCCCGACACTTTCTATAGGTATCCGCTCATTTCACCACAGGACACACCTACGCGCTAGGTGCCCTCATTTTTCAATGCTCACAGACGGAAACCGAAGCACAGGGGTGTTAACCTGACCCAGGCCCCACAGAAGCTGGACGTCATGTTGCTGTCCCAGAGGTGGGAGTTCTGGCCGACGGAGGCCCTCAGAGTCACAGGAACCAGAGACCCCACCTGGGAGAACGCCCCGCAGAGGCCCCCAGGGGAGGCGGCGTGGAGCTCGGAGCCTCGAGGACGCGGGGGTGCGGCAGACAGGCCGAGGGCGCCAGGTCAGGGCCCTGCCCGAGCCTGCGCTTCCTCCCGCCCGGCCCCGCCGCTGCCCCTCCCCCCTTCTCCCCACCGTGCGGGGGAGGCCACCGCCCAGCGCCCAGTGCCCGCAGGGCAGCCGCCCGACCAGCTCCTTCACTCCCACCAACACGAGCACCGTGACACACGCGCAGGGGCCCCACGGCAACCCCACCAGTCACTGTCATGCACCCGGTAGTCCTGGGCGTCTACTGAGAGAGACTGGGGGGGGGGGGCGGGAGGAGCAGAGGTGGTGTGGGAGGGAGGGGCACTCACACCCGGGCCCTGCCTCAAGTCCAGCGGGACCGACCTGCGTGGCCTCAGACAAGCCGCCTCACCTGCCAGCGCCCCTCTCATTTGCGAAATGGGGCTCTTCCCGGGACAACCTCCCCCAGAGCGCTGGAGCGGCGGTGGAGTTCAGCAGCTGGAGCCAGGTCCCCGTGTGACCCCCCCAAGTCTGGCCTCGGCCCCCCTAATCCACCGTCAGACACAGAACCAGCCTCCTGGCCCGGCAGTTTAAAGTCGCTGCCCAAATCCTTGGTTCACTGGCGGAAAGGTTCAGAAATGGGTAGTGCCCCCCGCCCCCCACCCTGCTCCCCCACACCAAGGTCACAGATGAGCCAAGGGCAAAGACCAGATAATGCCATGTCCCCGGTGTGGGACAGCCCCTCTCACCTCTGGGAGCCTCTGGAGTAATACCCCAGGTGTCGCCCTCTGAGCTGGGGGAAGGGGGGGAAGGGGGGGCAGGTGGAATCACCCGCTTGGAGAGATGCCCTGCCCAGGCCGCGCGCGCTGGGCGCCAGGTGGGCGGAGTGATGGGTCTGTCGGCGGCCCCAGGGACGCCCACCCCGACCCGCCAGCCTCTCAGGCCCGGGCCCAGGCGGCGAGGTCAGAGCGGGGCTGGCAGGGCCTCAGAGGAAAGACACAACCTCGGTTGTTTATCGGGTGTTAACAGTGAGTCAGGAATCCCTCCGAGCTCTTTACATCGATCATCTGGTTTAATCCTTACGGCAGCCTGCAAAGGCAGGCGGTACTAGTGTCCTCATCCTGAAGATGTGTCTTCTTACAGCTGAAGGTAGATGTCAGTTGACTTGCTCAAAGTCAGTGTGTAAGGAACCGGGCGGGGCGGGGTATGGGGGGCAGCATTAGAACCCAGGAGCCCCCTTCCCAGCCCCGAGGTGCTCCGGGCTCACAGCTGATTTCCTGCCTCTGCTCCCTCCCCTTAGTAACCACACAACGAGGGGCGGGGCGGGGCGGGGCAGGCTTCGGTAGCGCCCCCACCATTCCCTGCCCCCTCCCTCACTTGGCTTTCCCAGAACAGATCTCTGGTCTCCACTGGGGACATCTTGTCTCCAGTGCGGGGGCCGGGGGTTTGGCCCCGCTCTGGGCCCGCCAGGGGAAGCCGCGGGCTGTAGACGGGGCGTAGCGCAGTGTCTTCCCGCCCCCCACCCCAGGTGTCTTTCTGAACCCCTCTAGTCTTCCACAGACACCTGGGACCATAACACTCCCTGGCACTTTTCTCTGGGATCCAAGTGGCCTGGGACCTGGGGGAGCGAGCAGCCCGGCCCAGGGCCGTGCGCACCGCTAGATGGCAATGTCGGCCCCTGGGTGCCAGCCCGGGACCCGGAGCTGGCAGCCAACCTTGGCCACTGCCCCCAACTCCGAAACGACGGAGACCACTGAGGAGGCCCCAAGCAGGGATCCCCTTTCCAGGCCCCACTCGGGAGCTGCCCTTAGCGCCACGCGGGGTTCCGTGGTGGGAAATTAAGGGCGCCCAGTTTCCACCCGGCACCGGGCGAGGAACGTGTGCACGGAAGGCGAGTGCGTGTTTGTGTGTGCGAACTGGGGAGCGCGAGTAGACGCTAGTAGCTGTCCGCATGTGCGTGTGTGCGCGCGCTCAGCCACGCCTAGATACCAGTGCGCCCCGTGTGCGCGTGAGCAAGCCCGTGCCATGTGGACACGTGCTTGTGCATGCGTGTGCGTGCTTGGAGCGCTGTGGCCTGGCGGTTGCACATGGTTCGGATGTGCCTACGCCTGTGAGCTTGTGTACACGAACAAATGCAGGGCTGGCAGTCAGTGACCCGTCACATTCCAAAAGACTCTGCCGGGAGACCGGCCCCAGATCTTGGCCGTCTGAGCGCGGATAAAGTCGGCGTCTGGATCGTGCCGCGCCTGTGGCTGGGAAAGAATCCGGCGCAGCATGAAAGGCCAGACTACACAGGTTTGCGACGGCACCGTGAACTTGGGGCATTGTGTTAGCTGAGTGCTCGGCGGTGTAGTGCCTGCCCCCCCCCCCCACGCGTCGGTGCAGAGTCCCAGCCTTGAACTGACTTTCTGTGCAGGGGCCGCTGCTGGAGTCCCTGACTCGACCTTGCGGGACACCAGGCTCGGCTCAGCATGCCCGCCGCGCGTTACCTCCGGAGAGAACCGGCGAGAGGGTGCAGGCAGCACCCCCATAACCAGGAGGCCCAGAAGGGGCTTTGGTTAGGAAAGTGTAATATTCTTTGCCCACGCTCCTGACCCTGTTCCGCGCTGGGGAAGCACCGTGTGGCCCCAGTGTCTAGCGGGGGCACCTGTTTTTCAAGCTCGGGGATCGGGCGGGCATCCGGGGCCCGGCTGCGACTTATTACGGGGCCCATCTGGAGGCTCCTCCACGTCGTCCTGGTGGTCGATGGGGCCCTGTCTCTCCACTGCCCCGCCCTCCCCCAACTCCTTAGCTTGCAATTCCTGCCGCCTCTGGGCGTGGGCACCGTTTTTTGCCGGGTCCTCAAGCTCCCCCATCCCCCTTTCCCAGACCAAACGGGAGCGCGTGCTGTGGACCCCGCGAGGGTAGGGTGGGTTCTCAGGCTTGTGCTCCAGGGCTCCGGGAACGCTGTGGCCCTTGGATCTGTCCCTGGAGCGGGAGAGGAGACTCAGGGGTTCACGGAGAGAGAGAGAAGGGGTACAGGGGATTTGGCAACGAAATTGTGCCTGACACTTCAACCACGGGGCCGGGGTTTAAAGCCACATCTCCGGGCTCTGGGCCTGGGCAACAGCAGGGCGGGTGGGGGAGCCCTGGAATGAGGGAGCCCTGGAATGCGCCAAGAAAGGGCAAGGGTGCTTTCCGTCGGGGTCCAAGGTCGCCGGCTCAATGACTCCATGGCCAAGAGTGAGCTGGCAGCGCCGGGGGCGGGGAGACGGGCGGGAAAAGGCTCTTTGGGACTCCCGCGCCCGGCGCCCGGCGCCCGGCAGAGCTGCCAGTCGGAGGGCTGGAGTGCGGGGTCCCGCCCCGACGGCTGCCCCGGCCTCCTAGGGGGCCGAGAGCGGGCACACCCTGCGGACATCCACAGGCGCCCCTGGAGGACCCTTCCTTCCAGCGGTGCCCTCTGCAGTCCCTGGCGCCGCACTCGCCCCGAGGAAGCCTGGGGCCCCGTCTCAGTCGGACCAACAGCTGAGGAGCCGCAGAGGGTCCGGGAGCCCCGCATCTTTCTCCCCGAACCGAGTCCCCCCGCCCCCGCGCTGCCGCGGAAGTCACTTACCAGACACCTCCGTCCCACTCCACTCGCACCTGACAGACGGCGGGATGGGAGGGCGGCCCCGCGGGCCAGCGGGCGGGGCGGGCGGCCGGGCCACGGGCCGGGGGCGGGGACGGGGTGCCGAGGGGCGGCCCCTGCTCCGCCCGCAGCTCCCGGCGCTGTGGCTCCGACTCGCGCTCACGCTCGCACTTTTCCCCGAGCCGCGTGATGTCACGGGGTAGCAGCCAATCCTGGTGGGGCCGCGCCGCCCGCCCGGGGCCGGCCACCCAACGAGGACGCGCGGGGGGCACCACCGGGGCGTCGGGGACCCCAGCTTCGCGCGCCCCTCACCGGAGCCGGCCAGCAGCTCCCCGCTCGGGCACTATGGGGGCGCCGCCCACGGCCGAAAGAGCTGCCTGGCTGGGGGCTCGGACCTCTGGGAGGCTGGGGGGTGGGGTGTCGCGTTGTCATGGGGACGCGGCGCCCCCTCGCGGGCTGGGGTGGGGCGAGAGCTGGCAGCCCCGTCTGGCTGCGCTTCCCGCCTCCGCTCTGACCAGGCACCCGGGACTGGGCGACTGTCTCGCTCCCAGCCCGGACCTCGCTCCCCGCGCGGCCCTGTGCACTGCGGGACCGCCGCGGCGCCAGGGTTTGAGCCCGACAGGAGGTCATGGATGGGCGGGGTCGGCTCCGCGGCCAAGGTTCCGTCGGGGCGGAGAGCCGAGGGCCTGCAGTTTCCTACCCTGGGGCTGCGCGTAGGCCTCCGGGCGACTAGAGGAGGGGCGCCGTCGGGGCTGGGGAAGGAGCCCGGGAGGGAGGAGCCCGCCCATCGCACACAACCCCCGCCCGCGCCCGCCCCCACCGCCTGGCTCCCGGCTCCTGCACTCCAGGCTGGGGAAGGTGTGCGCACCTTCTCTCCAGCCCCGGGACGGGATACGCAGCCCATCCAGCCAAGGCCTGAAGGGCGAGTTCACCGATTCCCGTGAGGGAAAGCTCAAGGTCACCTGGGCGGAGCCCGGAGCGAGACCCCAGAGGGCGAGCCACTGGTCTCTTGAGGTCTCCGGGAACCGCACTGGCCGGAGCCTGGGGACTGGTAGCCTTCCTTGCCTGAGCGGAGCTGGAGCGCCCGGGGCGCCCGCGGGACCGAGAGCCGCGCGGCTTCAGCACCTCGGAGAGCTCCGCCTCGGCCCTGACCTTGCGGGCTCAGCTTCGGGCAACCAGGAACCAGCGCTTTCTGCCTCCCTCTGAGACGCCAGTCCCTGGGCCGGGCCAGGCTCGGGTTCGCCCCCACGGCCGGGGCCCCGAGGCCTGTCTCCCCAAACTCTCTGAGCCAAACACCCGATTAACCTTAAGATGCATGCATGGTTCCTTCTTTTGGAAAAACAACTCAAGTCCCGCCCCTCCTTCGCCCTCACCTAAGGGACGGGCGGAGGGCTGTGCAGGAGGTGGGGGGTGGCGAGGCGGGTACGCGGAGGGGAAGCGGCAGGAGCTGCCAGAGAAGGGGCGGGAACGTGGGCCTGAGCCAGCGCCGCGGGGCTCGCGGTGTGGAGCTGTCCGTGCTGAACACCGATGTGCAGGTCGGTCCCCAGGGCTCAGGAGGGCGAGGGCTGGAGAAGCCATTGTCCTCTCCGTGAATGATCTGGTCTCTCCCACGATCCTCATCGCCACGGGTGAAGGAAGTGCTATTGTTCTTGCCCCCACTTCGCAGATGAAGAGCCAGGTTCAGTTGGCTTGTAAGGTAATTAGGTATCAGTCCTGTAAGGGTGTGTGTGTGTGTGTGTGTGTGTGTGTACACCGCCAGCGTGCACGCAGGAGAATGGGGGGTGGTCAGATAGAAATGTCGGATAGGGAGAACAGCAAGGCCAAGAACTGGAGGCCGCAGAGTCCGGAAATGCCTCTAACCACTGGTTGAATTCTCCCACTAACTCAGACAGAGCTGCTCCAGTTTCTCTGAGATGCACTGTGTGCTGGGGCCACTGGCCTCCCGCATCCCAGAACCCACAGAGGAAACGTGCAGAGCTGCGCTGGAAAGCAGAGACCTGCTTTATTTAGTCTGTGCTCTCTGCCTTTGTTCCAACTGGGTCTACAACTTGGGCCCACAGAACTTCTCTGGATGTTTCCTCATTTCCAAATGGGCTGCCAAGCTGTCCTACTGACCCCCACAACCTTGTTATGGCACACAAGAGGCCCCACGAAAGCCTCAGCCATGGGGACACTCTATTCACTGTGCAAGGGCTTTCTAAGCAAACAGGTTGGTGTTGTGACAGGAAGGTACCAACAGGGGCCTCCAGCAAGTAGAGCTGGGCTCATCCTTGGCTAGAAAGGGCAGAGGCCTGGGGCCAAACTTGGATCACCTCAATCACGAGGCTGAATATCCTTTTCCAAAATGATAGAGTAAGTCAATTCAAACCATGGCTCCACTAGTTGTGTGTGTCCAGGGGTAACGCCAGTGCCCTCCTCACAGGTTTTCATGATTACTGAGAGGTCAGCCATGTACTGTCCTGGGCACTGGGTTAATTAACACTCCGTATGTTCACAGTCCACACTGTCAGACCAAGGAATTCCTTGATTACAGCAGGCCCCTTCTCCTTCCATCTGTAGATGCACAGCTCAAGTCCCACCTCTCCGAGGCGGTGGGCCCTAACCAAGTGCTCTCTGAGCACGAAGGACTGGAGATAACCCAGCAGGAAGCAACAAAGGCTGCAACGTGGGGATCCTTACATCCTCCTAATGGGAGGAAAGGGAGGCAGAGAAAAGGCAAGTGGCTTGTCCAAGGTTCCACAGCTAGCTGATGTTTTAGTCGAGTCCACTGTTAAATATTAACTTTTTAGAAAATTCTAGTGTTCCTAACTATGTAACTCTTGCCATGGTTTTGGTATTACCTGCTTGCCCACTTGATCTTGTGGTTTTGTCTCGTTGAGGTAGGATCTATAATGACCCATGGTGTCTGGCACAGAGTTGGGCACTCAAGAGACACTCAAGGGAAGTACTCATTGCTGGCAAAAGTCCTGGACTGGCTCGGATTTTCCTGTATACCTCTAAGAATTGGAGGAGATACCCTTCTGCCACTTTTCTAAGATTTTATTTTGGCAGGGGGAGGGAGGGAGGACGGGAAACTGCATTCATTGGCTGTCTCTTGCATGCCCCCAACTGGGGTCCTGGCCCACAACCCAGGCATATGCCCCGACCAGGGTTGAACCAGCAACCTTCTGGCTTGCAGGACAACTCCCAACCCACTGAGCCACACCAGTCAGGGCTCCCTCCTGCCACTTTCAAACTGGCTTGAAACATGGTGGCCAAGACCTATGAATAGAGTAAGTAGGTCCTTCAGTCACTGCACTGAGGTGATAAAATGGAGACCTGAAGGGCCAGCAAATGGCACCTTTGTTGGAAACCTGCCGATGAGACCAAGCGCCTTGCCTGGCCAGCACCCATTAGGGGTGGTTTCCCAGAACTGGGAAGGTCCAGCTTTTTGCCAATTACATAGTCCTGGGTAGGAGGCAATCAAGACTGAGTGACCTTCTGTCATTCCCACCTGTACATCTGCCACTGCTGGAGCTGCCCCAGCCCTTAGCTGGCTCACAGGAAGCAGACAGCGGTGGTACTGGAGATGGGGTAACAGAGCAGAGCCAGCAGCCCTTATCTGAATGTCTTCTGCTGAGGCCTCAGACAGGGCCTCCACTTAGGACAGCAGCACCAACAGTGCCTGGGAGAGCCTGGGCCCAGCTCAGTTCAAAGACCCCCTTTCACCCCCACCCCTACCATCAACCCCTCCACCCTCCTCCACAAGAACGAGGAGCCTGGTGAGGGGCGTGTCATCACTTTAATGATGGGGATCTTTGGTGTTTCCCTCACTAGCAGTCAGACCATCCCCTCTCCTCCCACCAAGTATTTCTCTATCATGAGTTACAAACAAAAGAAATCACATTTCATACTAAAAACAGAATAATCAGAGCCTTGATTTTTCCACTAGAGACTACACGTACAGCTCAAGATTCCACATGCAACACCATAAATCACAGACTGAGACCTCACATTCTGACCTGGAGTCTCACCCTCCCCAGCCTTGGGTGGGCTCTGGGCTAGGCTCAGGTAATACTGACACCCACAGGCGCTGCTCTGAGGGCCTCGGGCAATGGGGGGAGAGGAGCTTGGGGAGCAAGCCCTGGGGGCTGGCCCGCCTACACCCCACACTCCTGAGTGAGGACCTACACACCATCCCTTCACCCCATCCTGTACCAGGCAAGCAAGCCCTCTGCTCCATGGTTGTCCCCATTAGCCAGTGCAGGCAGCCCCTGTCCTCAGGAATCTGGGAGCCTGGCCTGACCCCCAACGGTGGTCTCTGTGCAGAAGGGTGAGATAGAGGATGAAGGTCAGAAGGTTCTGAGTCAGAGATGGTTTTGGGGGGCTGGGCTGCTCCTCTTGATCTGCAGGTCCAGGTGGCATGGCCCACACAACAGGTGGACACCATCCAGGACGGTCTGGCCTGGATCTGGAAGACTGCCCCCCTTCCTGGGGTTCTCTGCCCAGGGCTGAGTTCCTTGAGCCCTGTTTCCAGGAGAAAGCGGGACTGATAGCAGGAACACCCACTTCCTCCTCCACTCATATCCGGCACAGCAGTGTGGCTCCCCTGGGGCTCCAGACCCTGGAGGGCACTAGTCCCCCAGCCCAAGGCAGGCCTTGCCCAGTCGACTACCTCCTACCCACTGACTCCGACTGCCTCTCCAGCCCCACCCTCTCGCTCCGGTCCGAGGCAGCCCGCAGCCCTTCCGCGTGCAGAGTCCCCAGTCAGCTGTGAGGTCCAACTTCTGCTCAGCGGTTTGAGGGAGGCACCAGTGCACATGTGTCTCTACCTGTTCCGAGGCTCCCCACCAGGTGATGCGGCTTCCCCCCTGCCACCACCACCACTGTCAGGAAGGTGGTTGTTATTGGTCAGGTCGCAGCCCAGGGTTGGTCCCTCAGTGCTGGGAAGGGGGCTAGGAGTTGGGGCAGGAGGGGAGGGGAGCAGGGGGGGCTGGGAGCGCTCCTGCCCAGGGGTACCAGGCTGGTCCCAGGAGACTGTCCGGGGGCTTAGGCCTCGCTCT